TAATAATAATAATAATAATAATAATAATAATAATAATAATAATAATATAGCAGCACAACATGAGGATGCACCAGGAATATTCAGGTGGCTTAGGCCATGCAATGCGAGATGCACGCCACACAGCATCGACCCCTTCATGCCATTTACCCTCAAGGCTCCTGGGATCTGATGCAACTGAGCCTCTGAAGAACACTTGGGGCACTAAGCGTTGGTGGTAGTTTGGTTAGTCGCAAGAAAAGCAATGTCGGCTTTCACTTTGCAGTGTTCCCGTCGGAGACCTGCAGAGCAACCGACTGGAGAGTTTTTTCTGTGGGGGATTGGGAGGATTGGGGGGGGGGCTCTGAAGCTAGGGCTAGTGCCAAGGATGGGATAACCAGCTCCCTGCTTGAAGGGGGGGCACTACTGACTGCCACAGCCCCGAGTCTTTCCACTTGCAGCTAGCTTTCCCAGTCCAGCAACCTCCCTTACATGTTCTACGCTTGTATCCTGTAGGGAGAGTGGTGAAAAGGAAATCACTTCTCTTTCCCAAAATTGGCATCTTGCTTTCAGGAAGGGTCACCACCACTCTGAAGGGGCCTCCCCATATCTGGGGCTGACCGAGGAAGCCAACGTTTCAGAAAGGAAGAAGGAAAAGGGAATTGCAGGAGCTGGCAGCTAGGAACCAAAGCTGCCACCCCATTTTAGGGACGGCTCTAATTGAGAAAAGCCTCCTGGTAGATGGAAGGGCGGCCTTCCAATGTTACAGTATTAAGAAAAGGCCCACACCGTGTGGTGCTTTGGATATCGAAAGTCTGGGTTGGCTTAAAAACTAACAAAAGTTGCCAGAGCATTCGCTCTCTCTTGGACAGACTTCCTAGCAGTTTTCTGCTGCTGAAATATGAAGGACGGCCACTTCTGCATACATCTGCCCACGTTTCAGCTACCGATCATCGGGGTTCGTTCCTTCCTTCCTCTGCATTTTCAGTTCACCCGATATCTCAGCATCTCCAACAGATTCCCTGCCAGCTGCAAACAGCCAAGGGGCTGGCAGTCATACGGATCTCAGCGTCCGGGCTGCATAGGCAAGTAATAGCTGGAGATTTTTTTTTTTTTTTTTTACAAAAAGTGAAGCCATTCCATGGCAGTAAAAGGCTGAGTACGACTGGGTAGTCACCAAGCCAAAAGTACGATTTTGGGTCACTTGTGTTCCCATTTACATGCTTTCTAGCAGGCAGGTTGGTGGTGGGGACCATCTTGAAGCCTGGGCACAGAAGGAGTGGGGTTCCATTTGTTGCTGGACTACATTTCCCAGCATCCCTCACTACTGACTGTGCTAGGAATGGCCAGTGCAGCTGGAGATCTTCCAACACAGGCTGGATAGTCCTCTGCCAGAGTTGCTTTACCAGATCCTGCACTGAGCACCAGGTGTGATGGAATGGTTTGATGAAGGCCACGCTTGGGGAGATAAGCATTTCCTTACCCCCCAACAGGAGCGTGGGAAGGTTAAGAAGATGAGACTGGCAACACCCTAAGGAATTCACAGTGTTTTGGCTGGCTGGCTTGGGAAGTGTAGATTCAGTCTGGAGAGATTGATGTCAGGTTCAGCCCAAAGAACCCCACGAGACAGTACA